GCCTGCCTCTGCCTCCCAAGTGCTGGGATTAAAGGCGTGCGCCACCACCGCCCGGCCTCTTTCTTGTCTTTTGAGACAGGGATTCTCTGTGTAATCCTGGCTGTTCTGGAACTCCCTCTGTTGACCAGGCCGGCCTCAAACTCACAGAGCTCTGCCTGCCTCTGCCTCCCGAGTGCTGGGGTTAAAGGCGTGCGCCACCATGCCTGGCAAATTCCTTTTTGTTTGTCTTCCCACAGACTTTTCCCGATCTCCTTACTCTACAGACCAGGGGACAAATTTAATCTTACAACGCTTTTTGCCCCAACTCCTCTAAACAGGGTCTTTCTCTAACTGGCTCTTAGTCCCTAGATGTAAGCACTTTCCTACTTACTTCCCTGGATCCATCTATTTAAAATTCTTGGAGAACAGAAGTCTTTCGATCTCCTGGAGCTGGGGTTGTAGGAGATTACAAACCACCTGGATGGATGCTGAAAAATTGAACTTGGGTCCTCTAAAAGTACATGCTCTTAACCACTCCGCCTCCCCAGCCCTATTCAAAATCCTGAAGTGACTATTAGTATTAATCAGCATTCCATCACGGCCCCTCCCTTTAGTCACTTCCTCTAGGAGAGTACCTGATTATAGTAGGTGCTCAATAAAATGTTAGTCATGTTCTCCTTCCTGCAAAGTACATCCTGAGCTCCTTAGTGTCAGAGTTACGGTCTCCTCTTGGCCTGCATAATGCCAAGCACAAGCAGGAGTCCGGGAATGAACGCTAAGTCACATTTTAACAAGCAAACAGGGGATCTGTTTGGTGACTGCATTTTCATTTGATCAGGGAATAACTATTTTCAGATTCCTGCGTTCTCTTCAGAAACCTTGTACAAATCTCCCCAACACTCCACAGTGGCATCTGACCCTGCTCTCCCCCCCCCACACACCCCCAGTGCTGGGATACAAGCACGTGCATGATGTCTAGCACTACATATGCCCTATAAACTCCAAGTCACAGATGTTTGACCTTATAAAAAGGGGAAATTCTCATCCTTCCTTTTACCCATCATGCCTAAGCCTCCTCTATGACGCTAAAGAAGACTCACCTTTTCCAGAGAAATCCTTAGAATCAGTTCGGGGAATCAAGAAACATTCCAAGTCCCCATTCCTCTACCCCCCTCCCCCGCCAAAGGAAAAGCTCTGCGCACCGAGGACAAAGTCAGTTATAAGTTTACCACAGCCCAGTATGTGCATTCGTACAAACAAGGTCTTAAAGCCACATATCACTAGCACGGGGAATGCACATTCACAGAACTGCACATCGAGGACTGTGGAACATATGCACAGACTAATTTGTCCTCTCCTTCATGGCTTTGGGAATATGCTCTCTTGTCATCTGGGGCCCTGATGTGGAGGCAGAGGCAGGCGGATCTCTGTGAGTTTGAAGCCAGCCTGGTCTACAGAGTGAGTTCCAGGACAGCCAGAGCTACACAGAGAATCCCTGTCTAGAAAAACCAAAAAAGAAAAAAAGGGAAGAAAACATCCCTTTCACGTGCCCCGAAGAAGCGCTTGCTCTCATGGGGACTGGTTAGCTTTATAGTTGGCTGAATATTCCCAGTGAACTTCATTCCTTACCTAGATTTTATGACCATCAGGCCCAGTGGTCTGCACAGAGAAGTTCTGGGAACATTCAGAGTCATTTCAGTCCCAGTACTATTCTGTATTGTTTTCTGAGTAGATCTTTTTGCTTCCTTCTGAGAGATGCGTTAATTTCTTTTCTCTATCCTTTATACTCGAAAAAGTCAATACATATGAAGCCCATGATGACCACTACTGTTCTTTGTTTCAGCTTCCTGGGAGGCTCCCGATCAGCTTCCAGCCTGCTCCGTCCCTGAGGGTGTCTGCAGGCTACCTCACCCCAAAGGCACACGTATGTTCAACTATTCCAAACATCCCTTGGCTCGGCCTTTGTAGACTATGAGCTCTTTGTCATTTCCTAATTGCTGGGCACGGACAGTTACGGGACACTGAAAAGATAGTAAGTGCTGATAAATGGAAGAAGACTCCTCTCGGTTACCAAGTTGGCACTGCATACAAGTTCCTGTTGCCATTGGTCAGGAGACTCAGAGAACTGCCGTGGGCACACTGAGTGGGTAAGAGCAGTGTTGGAGAACCAGGGAGGGGAGCCAAATTCCTACGCTGGAGAGGTCACAGGGCAGCTCGGATCGATACAGCACTTTTGATCTGCACGGTTATCAAGGTCCACAGCATCACTCCCTCTTCCCACTGGCTAATGGAACTCTTTACCCTAAATTAAGATGATTATTTCGCTTTGATGTCGCTTTTATACTTGCAAAGTGTTTTATAATCCTTCATTAGCTGTTTTATTCTCTTCTCATTAGCATTAGCATTACCCACTTCACAAAGCAGGTAACTCAAGACAACACGAGGGTGCTGAGCCTGTGGCCTGAACCCTGGCCACAGACTTCACAGACTCCAGCTGATGGAGACTTGGTGGCCCTCAGGAGGAAGTGTGCCGTAAAAGAGCCAAAATCTTTACAAGGGTTTTCTTGGAGGGGGAGAGAGACCCAAAGACCAACTAGTCTCCAACGACTTGATAAACGCCAGGGCATTATCATGTTCATTTGTTGGCAATAAAATAGAGAGTTCTCACTAGCTTAAATTAAAAGTGTGGCGACTAAATACGTCTTTAATAGGAAAACAGTCCTCTTGATTGACTAACTGCCTCCATAAACGGGGCTGAGAATGGAGAACAAAGAAAGTGTCTGCATTTAATCGTGTCCTTTGTTTCTCAAGAAAAGGGCTCTGCCCTGACTCACTGTGACAGGCGGCTCCGCTAGCTAGCACCTCTTTCTCTTCTGACTGCCCCCCATTTGCTATGGTTTCCTTTCTTTTCTTCCTTTGCCGCTCGTCTAATACATACACATTTCCTAAGAACATATTCTCTCATCTCTATGCCCTCTCTTCTGGAGTTCCTATACACTCCAGTATTTCCAGATAATTCCTAAATCAGGTCTCTGAAGTCAAACTGGCCTGGTCTTTCATAGGCCCATTAGACATCATTTATTTGTTGCCTTAATGGTACCCCAAACTCAAATATATGGAACCAAATATCACCTTCTGCAGCATGCAACCCTAAGCTAATAACCATTTTTGTTGTTATTATTGTTTTGTTTTGTTTTTCCTGAGACAGGGTTTCTCTGTGCAGCTTTGGAGCCTATCCTAGAACTTGCTCTATAGACTAGGCTGGTCTTGAACTCACAGAGATCCACCTGCCTCTGCTCCTGAGTGCTAGGATTAAAGGCGTGCACCACCCACACCCGGCATTGTTGTTTTGTTTTTTGAGACAAGGTTTCTCTGCATAGCCCTGGGTGTCCTGGAACTCACTCTGTAGACCAGGTTGGTCTCGAACTCAGAGACTTATTTGCCTCTGCCTCCTGAGTCCTGGGATTAAAGGTGTGCACCACCGCCGCCGCCACCACCACCTGGCGCCAATAGCCCTTCTTATCTGACTTTGTTAGGGTCACCACACCCAGAGTCACTATGAATCCTTGCTGTATCTAATAACTAGTCTTAGAAAACTACCTTCTCTGTCCCTGGCATTAGAGGCATTAAAGCAGACTTCTAACTAGCCTCTCATCATCCTAACTCTCTCTGTGAATCCTGGTAGAACAATATTCCTAAACAAAATGTTAATCATATCATTGTTCTGTTCAGATACCAACAATCTTCTGAATTAAATCCAGACTCCTTGGCCTATCAAATGGAGGTATGTTATACAGCCTTTGGATTTAGTAACTTGGTTTTGCATTTCAGTGCCGGCACTTGTAAGATGTGAGTGATCTGTCTCATCTGAATCTTTAGCAGAAAATGGGAAAACAGGGCTAGAGAGATGTTCTGACAGTTAAGGGGTGTGGATTGCTCCTGCAGAGTCTGACCTAAGGCTGGTGTTGGACAGCTCACCCAGCTCAAGGGAGATCCAGTGCTCTGCTCTCAGAGGGCATCCACACTCACATCCACGTGCCCAAACACATACAGACAATTAAAAATACAGTTAATCGGTTAGATGTGCTGGTGCGAGCCTTTAATCCCAGCATGGAAGAGAAAGAAGCAGGTGGAGCTCTGTGAGTTCAAGGCCAGCCTACTCTACATAGTGAGTTCCTGGCCTGTAATAATAATAATAAATGGCCGGGCGGTGGTGGCACACACCTTTAATCTCAGCACTTGGGAGGCAGAAGCAGGTGGATCTCAGTGAGTTCGAGGCCAGCCTGGACTATAGAGTTAGTTCCAGGACAGCCAGGACTGTTACACAGAGAAGCCCTGTCTCAAACAATAACAACAACCAAAACAAAACAAAACGCTAGTAGTAATATATTTTAAAAGAGGACAATGTCTAAAAAGATTGGTGTAGAGATGAAATCACACATTTAAAATCCTAGCCATTCCCACACAGAGAATCAACACGAAGTATTTCTACTCATCTTGCCAGGGGCAAGCCCATTTCTCTCCTAAATGCACTGGCTGTCCAAAACAAATAGCGTTACATCTCTCCCAATCTCTTGGAAGAGGCATCCTTACCATTCTAGAACACACGCAAATCCATCCAACTCAGCCTTCACAGATACGTGCGCGTACCGCTTCTTTCCTGGAAAATCTCTTCTTTAAAGAAATGCCCCAAACGTCTGGTTGTGTCCTTCTAGTATATAATAATTTTTGTTTTCTGAATTACATGAGAGTATAATTTCAGGGAAGGCTGTCTTCATAGCTCACAAAGCACAATGTCTTAACAGAACGATCCATAAATGTATGCTTTATTGACATTAAAAGCTTGGGATTTCGGTCTCCCAAGAGTGTGTTTGTCTGAATGACACACAAGCACTTTTTAAAATAGCAGACACTGAAAGAGAAGCTCAGGGAGCCTGGGACTAAATCCATTCCTACTTCAGCCAACAGGAACTGTCCAGACCTTCTTCCTACTTAAGACACAGTAAACTGGCTACTGGGTGAGCCACAGAAACCCATCTGCATACTTCTACTTTACTTTACTTTGTGTGTCAAGGTCAGAGGTCAATGTTGGGTCTCTTCCTTGGTTACTCACCACCTTATTTTTTGAAACAACATTTCTCACTGAATCTGGAGCTAGACTGGCTTTCAGTGAGCTCCGAGAACTTACCTCTCTCAGCTCCTTCCTACACCTCACCTTCCGGTGCTGACTTCCAGATGCATGCTGCTGCATCCAGCTTTTCACCTGGGTGTGGGACCCACATTCAGGTTCCTACACTGGTGGGGAGTCTTTTTCCCAACCCAGCCATCTCCCCAGCTCCATCTGAATACATTCACAATTATTGTTTTTTAGATTTACTTATGTGTATGAGTGTTCTGCTTGCATACACGTATGTGTACTATGTGTGTGTCTGGTGCCCATGAAAGTCAGAAGAGGACATCGGGTCCCCTGGAACTGGAGTTTGGATGGTTATGAACAACCATGTAGGGTTTGGGTACCGAACCCAGTCCTCTAGAATAGCAACAAGTGCCTGTAACTACTGAGCCGTCTCTCCAGTTAGTCTCCCCCATTTGAATGCATTTAAATTTGAACATACTTGTCATAGAAATGAGCAAGACAAATCCCACGACACCTGTGTTGGGAATCAACCTCTATCAGGCTGACAAGGACTCCACCCACAAGGAGGGAAGCCTCTAACAGCCATGTAGTTCATGTGTCTGCTGGTGGCTCAGTGAAGACATGAGTCTACCTTCCTCTGGCCTTCTTCCAATACTTTCCTCTTGGCCCAGTTAACAAGTGGGTAATTAGATGACATCAGCCATCATGGAGTGGCTGGAACATAAGGTGGCCTCCCAGTGCCATATAATGTGGCACCAAGTTCCTGAATCATCAACCACAGGTGCATCGACGCCCCTCCCCCACGACATCCCTGCTTCATAAACGCCGCCTTATCTGCCACGTCTGTTGACACTGTGACCACACCGAGGGCACTTTCCTTGCTCTTCTCGGTGTTTGTTCTCTGCTCGGGTGGGTACCCCTGTGTGGATGCCTGTGAACGAGCTCTTAGGGTGAAGGCTGACTCCCAGTCACCAGACTGTGCCAATGTCCTCAGGTAGGCCGGCCTCAGAGAACAGCAGCGGATCTAATTGCTAAGCCAACACCTAGCTGGAACACTTCAAAGGCTCAATCCCCCTTCCTAGCTAAACAATTAACTAAGGTCTGTCACTGAGCCACTACCAGGCCTGGGCATTATCAGACCTGGGTCTGAAGCTGCCTTTCTCCCCAAAATAATAGCGGCCACATTTTCCTCCAAACCCTGGGAGGATCAGTGGTGCATGGAGTTCTTTGTCAAGATACGGGGAATCCCTTGATGTGACCCCTGAGCACTAGAGTGGGCAGACATGCATAGAGACGTCCCTTGTGAATGCATCAGAATGGTACCGAACTATGGCCTCTTATAAATTTAGCAAGCATTTGATGAGCAACTACTGTCTTCCTCAAATTATGCTGGGTTGCACTCAGGAACCACAGTCTCCTTGAGGAGACCACGTACGACACTCAAGGCCAATGCTTATGTGAAGGGGTATGTTATCCAGTACTACACTCTGGTGCAGTCAATAGGCCCTGTGGACTGTGAGGGCCTTCAAATAGCTCTTAAAGAGGGCAGGGTTTGGATAGGAGAAAAAATAGCCATGTTGGGGGAAAAGAAAAAAGCAGGATCTGGTCTATGGACACCTTTCAAATGTGTGTTTTGGAACTTCTTAGTTTCAGCCTTGAGATGAAATGAAGAACTAGGTGAGGGAAGTGACTTCGTGGTCTGTTTCTCTCAGGTCTTCAAAGAACAGGGAGACTTGTCTGACTGAAAACCAGATCTGACAGCGTCTTAGCTAGACCTCTGAGACGGCTTAGCAGGTAAAGCCATTTGCCATGCAGGCCTGACTACCTGAGCCTGATTCCCAGAGTCCTCAGGTGGAAAGAGAGAACTGACTCCCAAGCTGTCCTCTGACCTCCACACACCTGCTGTGGTATGTGTACATCTGCACACACACACACACACACACACACACACACACACACACACACACTCACTCACATATTCTCACAATTACTCACACACTCTCACAGTCATACACACACATTCACACACACACACACACACACACTCACATATTCTCACAATTACTCACACACAGTCATACACACACACACACACTCACATATTCTCACAATTACTCACACACTCTCACAGTCATACACACACATTCACACACACACACACACACACACACACACACACTCAGTAGTAATAAGAATGAATAATAAGTAATTTCTAGAGTTTGGAGAGCTGAGAGAGGGCCACCACTATGACGGCTACTTGAATGTGAAGAGAGAGAGTTTGCTGTGCAGAGTCAGAGACTCCGGAGCACGCCATCCTAAATGGGATGTCTTCATCAAAGCCCTCCCCTCAGGGCCCAGGATCTGTGTGGAAGAGGAGGCGGAAAGATTGT